TATATATATATATATATATGCTGACCGTATCGACAGATCCTTTTTTGAATTTATGAAACGGAAGCCGTTATTATTATTTTTTTTTTCAATCATTTTTATTCCTTTTGTTCGACTGAATTTTTTGGGTTATGTTTGATATAGAAAGAAACGAGCCACAAATATACGCGCGGTGTATACAGTTTTTTTTAGCTCTAATGTACGACACGTAAAAAAAAAAAAAAAAGAAAAGAAAAAACAAAACAAACTAATAGTAATAATACACAATACTGATTCGCATAAGTTCGGACCTAGATTATAATAATTGTCGAATATCGACAGTTAACCGATTTTTGTTTTTTTTTTTTAAATGTTTTTATATACGGAAGGGGATAATAATATACATGTATGTAATCTCAATGATACATAGAGATAGAGGGAAAAAGAAATATGCCACTGTATATAGAAACAAAGAGAAAAAAAAACAAAAAAAAAAAAAAAAAGAGATTATTATACAAGAAACACATAAACACATGTAGAAGAAAAAAAAACAAAAAAAAAACCAAAATTCATCATTCTTTATATGATTTATTTTCATAGAGAGAGAGACAGGAAGATGAAAGAGAAATAGTTGCTTGTGTTCAAAAACAAAAAAACAAACAAATAGAAAGGAAAAATTTTTAATTTAATGAACCAAACGATATCTTGGTTTTGTTTTTTTTTTGAGGGGAATGGGGGGGAAGTGTTATTTTAATATCAATAAGCGCAATTATGTGGAGCATATTAAGCGAAAGAAGAGATTAATAATAATAAAAAAAAAAGAAAAAGAAAAAGAGATCGAGAAAAAAGAATTTTGTATTTTTTGGTTTCATTTCTCAATAAGGATCTGTCGAACATCAGCAGACTATTTCTCTTTTCATTTCTCATCTCTCATGAGATTGGACAAAAACAAAAACAAATGAAAAAGAAAATTAAGAGACATAATGAATAAAAAAAGAGAGAAGGAAAAAAAAATTTCTTTTTTTTTCTATTTATATATGCAGATCATCTAACCTGACTCGGAGTCAGTATCATCTCCATTGCGTGATGAATCAGAATCGCTTTCTGATGGTGAACTTTCACTTAAACGTTTTGTTGATATCGGTGCAGCTCCTGATGATAATGGATGATTTGAAGGAGCATTTATAAGACCAGTTGTAGCACCGATTGAATTAAAATTTGATGAATCTATAAAAAAAAAGAAAGAAAAATGAATGAAATCTTTTTTTTTTTTCAATTATTATTACAAACCTCGTTTTGTTAATGAACTACCAGATGGTTGTTTAGTTTTAGTACCTAATTGTGTTTGTACTTTTTCAAGTCGTTTTTGTATTTCTTCTTTTTTCTGTGCATTTTGAGCTTTGGAAAGATTACGTTTTTCAGCATTAGCTAAAATCAAAGATATATATATATATATACACTTAGGAACAAGATTTCGAAAATTTCAACGAAAAAAAGCAATTTATAGACTGCATGACTTTAAATGAACTGATAATTGGCTATTGGTGACAAAGCGTTTGACCCAGTGCATTACTTAGAACGGCAATCGACTACATAAACCCTAAGATGATATGAGCATAGATTGATAATTAACTAAGAGATCGAATTTTGTCAATAAAATCATTCATAGTTCCAACTGTCGATTAAAAACTTGGTGTAGAGACCGATCATCGCGATTGACAATCTTTATTTGAGCTCATAGTATAGATAAAAACTCTGAGAGAGTTCGTGCCATTTGGCCTATCTTCTCGAATTATGGTCATTTTATTGAACTTTCAGCATATTGTAGGATATCGATGTTTCCCTTCTGACAGAGATATCCATCGTGGCTGAAAACTTGCTGCTGTCACGCCACCATGGACATCTCTGCCTGTTGAGATAAGATGCTTGCAAAAAAAAATCAAACGTTACTTGCATATAAGAGCTTCAAAAATAGCTGAGTTTATTTTCAGATCTTGGTACCATCATCCACGGAATGTCCTAAACAAGTCACTAACGACTGTTTCTTTTGTCTCGGATTATCCGTGTGATAGCATAGCTGACTAATACACATATTCTTGTAGTGAATTACTGTGTACGACTCTGTGTCAAGCCAGTCTTCTGTTCAGAACTACAACTAGTATTCGTTGTAGGAGGAAGATATTGGGTCAATGAATCTGCCATTCGATCTCTCTTCGCATCTATATCGTCTTAGGGCTTTCATAGTGTAATGCTTCTATAAAGAAAGGGTCGAAATTTGACATATTGATTGCAATCGTGCCAATTTTTATATCATACATGCAATTATGATCGAAAAAAATCCGTATTATACGAAATAATTTCGCACAATGCCAATTTTGTTCTTGAATGATGTTTATAGAAAATCATGTGCTAGAGAAGTTGACCGTACATCTTAGTGTATTCTCTATCTCGAAAATATTTATTATAAAGCAAGAAATTAAGCAGAGCAGATAAAGAAATCTAGAATTTCATTTCACCTGCTGATGCTGCCGTTTTTGATGTTGTTTTTTCTAATAGGAAGAATAATATAAAAAAAAATCTTTTTGTTTTTTTTTTCTTTTTTTGCTAAATTTATTTACCAGATGTATTTGGTTGTTTACGTGGTTTTCGTTTAATAACTTGATTAACATAAGCTTCTAATTCACGTAATGTTGATGGTTTGAGCATTTCAAAATCGATTTCCATCTCATCAGGACTTGAATCACGTAAAGATGGTTCTCGACGATGTATAATCTTAACAAAAAAAAAA